TGGCCATACTGCTAGAAGCAAGGACGCTACTAGTAGCTCCTGGCCATACTACTAGAAGCAAGGATGCTACTAGTACTAGAAGCAAGGATGCTACTAGGGGCTCCTGGCCATACTACTAGAAGCAAGGACGCTACTAGGGGCTCCGAAGCAAGGACGCTACTAGGGGCCATACTACTAGTAACAAGAAGCTACTAGTAACAAGTCCAGATCAGTTGGGATCCCTCCACTTCAGGCGTTGAGGTGTTTCAATGAAAGCCATGAGGGAGTTGCGAGCAATCTTGCACACAAGAAAGCTCTCCGACCTAGAACATGTAATTGTTCTTTGGCTCGTAGCAAGGACGCATGGATCTTCGCTTAGTCGAAACTGTCCCTGCATTGTTACAAAAGCAAAATGAATAAGTCTAGATGTTTTTCCTTTACTTCCTATCTTTTCCTTTCCTTCCTTTCCTCCTTGCCATGTTGTCAAACTGCTTCAAATGACCCCTCCTTTTTATCATTCGGAACCTGGTTGCCTGTTCGCTTGCACTTTGTTCTTCACTTGACACTTGGCTTTAGCTGCGGCAAGATCAATAAGACGACCTGCGAAGTCCAGCTTTCAAGGGCCAAACTGCAAGCTGCACAGAAGTAGACTGGTTCACATGTCCATGTTTCCATGATTTTTAACAAGAGGAACACAAGAAACTACCATTTTCCTCAACAACTCTTAGAGCCAGCCATGGGAAGTGGAGGATCGAGTCAAAGTCGTCAGCCCAAACAGGGTTGCGAGCGGCTGGGAATAACTATCCATCAGCTCCAAGAGGTTGACATTCTCGTGCAGCGCTATCAGAAAGATTGGTCTGAGGCTTCGCTTGGTTGTTCATGTTGGTTCATGTTGTTTCGCTTGTTTTCGCTTTGATTGTCAGAAGTGCCTTGTGCCTTGCTTTGGCAGGTGGTCAACTCTCCCACCGTGCAGCATGTCGTGGACTACTTCATCAAACCAGAGACCAAATCGAAGAAGCAAAGCTATGTCGAAGTGAAGTTTGCAAAAACAATGACTCCACCCACTTGGTTTTCCTGCCATCCTTGGTCAATCAACCACGCCTCGCTAGTGTTGGGTCTGCAGCATTCGGCAGACAGGCATTGTGAGACTAGCTCGACATCCTTTTGGTTAGCGGCCTATTGCTTGTGTCAGCACAAAGTTCCTGCTGCTGACCAGGTTCTTCCTGCGGTCTTCGGTTCTAGGTACCTCTCCGGGATTATAGTGCATGTTGATTCACAGCGCGAGATCTGGAAGAGGATGTGGTGCCTCTCCGAAATGTTGGCCTCTCTCACCCATGACGACCTGAAGATGAGCTTGGTGACGATCGAAGAATCTGAAGCAGGATCCTCAGCGTTTTCGCTGTCAGATCATTTGGTGGGAACTGAGACGGAAGGTGAACGAAGGTCTTGGGATGAACACTTTCCATTGAGTGCTTTTGGGCCACACCAGATAGAGATTCATAGGAGTCGTGCGTCAGACCCGGATGATGAACAAGCGCTTTTGGGTCAGATCATCTCTGCAAGTGGGGAAGCAGCACCAACATCCTCGACCCCGAGAAACCATCAGGCCTACAATTTGGCCAATACAAAGCTGCGAAGCAAGATTGAAGCTGCTGCAATGCGAGTTGCAGTGCTTGTGAAAGACCGCAAGATGGAGGAACATCTCTTGACCCGTGCTGCGAATGAGCCCACGCTGCGGTCTGAGCTCAAACGTGTCCGCGAAGCAACTCAAGGACTCCCAGTGTCACAGGGATCACCGCTAGCACCACCAGCCCCTGACCCAACCGAAGAGCCACAAGCTGCAGACACAGAACCTCCATCTCCTGAACCTGCACCACCGCGCGCCATCGTGCAGGGCACTAGAACTGCCCAAGACTCCAAACGCTTGGGAGCCCGTTTGGAATACTTGTTGAAAGACTTTCCGAGGAGAGCAAAAGAAAGCACAGGCCAAGACGATCCAACTTTTCGCATCATCGATGAGTCATTGGCTCGAGGTCCAACCGGCTTGGGGTACAATCGTCCATGCCCGCGGGATGGGCAACTTCATTGCAGCATGGTAGACGCTTTGCGCAATGAGGACGCACAGAAAGCTACCGTTTTTCTTTCCTGGTGCTGGGACTATCATTTGCAGATGTACGTGAAGACTTGGGAGCAGTGGCTGCAACATCACCCAGATGCAGCTGAAGGCTTTGTGTGGCAATGTTTCTTTTGCAACAATCAATATCGTATGCAAGAAGTAGTGGTGGATGACAGCCTTGGTGAGATTTTTCAAGATCGCTTGCTGGATATTCAACAGATGGTGGTCATGCTGGACAAGTTCATGCAGCCGCAATATTTGGAGCGTGTTTGGTGTGTCTTTGATACTCGTCATTCTAGTCATTTTGTGTTCAGAATCGTTTGCCGAAGGAAAGTAACAGTCTCAAACAAGCTTCGTTGAGTTTGCTTTCGTTTGAGGAGATGTATACCGCGGCAAAGCACCCGGGCAAGGTGACAGTGGATATCATACTGCCACCAGACCAGGCTGCCGACATCCAAAAGAAGGTCGCCTGCGGCGATTTGTGGGAGATTCAATCGCAGTTTCAAGAAGTGAACGTGGAAAATGCCAAGGCCTCCAGACCCGAAGACGAACGCAAGGTCAAAGAGATCATCAAGAGAGATTCAGGTTTTCACGCAGTGAACGAGAAAGTTCGCGACACAATGATGCATTGGGTACTGGGCCAGGTGAGATCAGTCCTGCTTGACCCTAGTGGAACAGCCAAAAGCGCGGCAGATTTCATGGCTGCTGCTGGGCTAGCCAATTGGGTTGGAAAACTCGAGGATGCAGGAATTCAATCCTTTGAAGAGCTGGAGGACTTACAAGATGCAGATTTGGAGGAAATTGGGCTGGACCTGGCTGCCCGCAAACGTTTGCTTGAAGTGCTGGAGATGGGGCCCTCAGCAAAGGCAGAGGTTGACTTCAAGGTCCAGCTGAGGCAGTTGGGCTTAAATACGAGTATATTCGAAGGTCTGTCAGAAGACGAGGCGGGAAGTGGCGAAGCTGCTAAAGGAGCCGCTAGTAGCTTCTAGTAGCGATGCCAGGCTCCTACTGGGGCCTCGCTTTAAATCGTATCAACTGGAGGAAAATCGTATCAAAATGGTGTGTCCTTGGGGATTGGCTTACTCATGGAAGTTTGTTGTTGTTCTATTTGTTCTACGAACTGATGTTAACGTGCTGTGCCCATGCGTTGGTTGCTTGTGTGATAGATTCAACAACCTTGTTGCATCATTGCATCGTGTTTTTCA